CATGTTCAGACTCACTCTTAAGCAAGAGGACATAACATAAGAAAAAACGGTTCCTGAAAATCCTGTCACAGGTATAATGCAGTTCTGAACATCCTCAAGAAGTCACAGTTCTGGCACAAGTGCATTTTTCAGAAAGTGTGTATGAAATGAAATGAAATACCTGATTGGCAGCTGTAAGTCATGAGGAAGTAATACAAATTTTCATAGCCCCAGGAAGATACACAGACCAGAAAGATGCGATGGGAAACTTGTGGTTTGGTCTTCAAATGGACCCTGAAAAAGCCTTGTCACTTCCACCACTACCAGCACAACCAGTAGTGACAGAATTTAAGTCACTGCGTGAAGGACCTGCAGCTCGTGAGCAGCAGGGAAAATCGCGTTGCCGAGTTGGACAAGTGGCTTGTTGGTCCTTGTTGGCTCCGGTGGTGGGGGGAGGCTGAGGGGGTCGGTAGCTGGGGATTGCTGGTGACAGCAGCATTTGAGTTCTGGAATTAATTCCAGTTCTCTGCTGGGACCCTTTCGAGCTGGGGGCCCTTGGCCTCTGCTTGGCTGATGCTGTTGCAGGAGGATTACTGCCGTGTGGAGACAAAAAAAAAGCCTTCCTATATAATGACAGAGGTTGGGGAAGAAAACATTCTTTGGATTTTTTTCCAGCTTGGTATTGATGTAGTCAATAAAGTCAGAGTCAGTCCTTCCCCCTTTTCAGTTCTCCTGCCTGTGCTCGCATGGGGTGGGGAGCAGAGGCTGTGCGAGTGCCTCCCGGCTGGGCACGCTGGGAAAACCTGCTCCCTTGCGCTTGCGTACTGCAGGGAAGCGGGCAAGCAGGGTCCTGGAGTAACCGATGCAGAGGTGCTGCAGGCAACAAGAAAACCTCCCAAACTGCTTGCTCACCAGCATGGTTTTGGAAGATGTTCAGACTTCAACACAAATAAAAGCAGACCTGATCACGGTGTGATTCTCACCTGTACTGTATGAAGATGGAAGTGAAAGGAATGCATCACTGTTTTTTAAAAATATCCTTAAAAATTGCTTTGAAAATAGGAGGGCTACAGCAAGACACCTCTGAGAAGAATGATCCCTTTGGGCTGAGGGTGCACGCCGCACCGAGCTGCCCTGGGTACAATTTGCCTCTCTTTCTTCTTTAGGTGAAGTTGGAGATCACCTCATGGTAGGGCTGACTGGCCTGTTCGTATGCAGCTTCTCATTGGTTCCAGTTGCTGCCTCTCCCTTGTTAGGAAAGTGCTGCTTCTCATGAGGAAAACATCTCGGAGGGAATGCCTAAAGCTCAGCACAGATGTGTTTTCACTATTGCTTAAACTAAGAATGCAAGCATACCTGTTAACATCCGTGTTCGTTCAGATGGAGATGTAACACACGTCGTAGCATCTGATTTCCAAGTACCTGGGAGTCTGGGTTTGCTCTCCACTCTGCAAACAGGACAGTGCTCAGGTCGGGGAAGGTGGTTTTTCAGGCCATGAGGACAAGTGGATGTCAGCCAAGCTGCTGTAGATCCCGGGGCTCCAGAGGGAAGGGGCAACGAAGCATGGAGAGGCGCAGCACGGAGGGCGAGGTTTGCTGGGGGCTGCTGGGATGCGCAGGCTGTGGCACAGCCATCAGTTTGAGTACTGGTTTTGGTGGGACTGGGCTGAAAGCATTGGACCAGGCTGCCCAGGGCAGTGGTCGAGTCACCATTCCTGGAGGTGTTCAAAAAACGTGTAGTCATGGCACTTCAGGACATGGTTTAGCCGGCATGGTGTTGATGGGTTGATGGTTGGATTTCAAGTTCTTAGAGGTCTTGTCCAACCTTAATGATTCTATAATTCTATGCATCATTTTCAGCACAGAATGAATCTGTGTAACATGGTACAGCCATGGGATGGCACAGGTCACATGCTTTGCGTGTTGCTTCTCATAAACATCTGGTAGGAACCTATCACCCATCACCCATGAGGAAGCAGCTGGCTTGGCATGGAAATTTTGCTGGCAGCCTCAAATCTAAGATAGAATAGTAAGCTCTGGAGGAAATGAATTTTTTTTTCATCTGCTTAACTACGAAATCAGTTCATGAGAAGGAGGTCACATGTTTAGGTTGCTCTGCTGTTTCAGGTATGCAGATACGACCCAAAAGAGCTGTTAAAAAATTGTCATCCTCTGGTACGACGTCGAGCTCACAGGCTGTAGTTGCAATAGTATTTGGGGGTGCTGCCCTATACCGGTTTTCTGAAGGCTCCCCCATTTCCAGTTTCTGTTCAGGAAGAGCTAACTTCTCTCCAGCAAGCATCTGAGCAGCTATTCTCACATCAAGAAGAACGAAGAAATTGCTATCAGCTTGTGTTTATTAATACATCTATCTTAAAAGTTGGTTGGTAAACCTGAGAGTTTGTTTTGTAGTAACTGTGTGACTACAGAAATGGGAAAGCAGATTCCAACTGGTTGGTGGGGCTAGCTGGGAAGGTGTGTGCCATCACTGCATGGCGAGGCGGAGCGGGCAGCCTGTGAAGCCAAGCTAGGATCGGAAGCTAGGAATGAGTCTTCTGCACAAATGACTCATCTATGCTATTTGTCTGGCAAAAAAAAACAGCGTGAGGGCCCTCTCAATAGCCCAAAAGAGTCTTCAGGAAGACACTCTCTGCTTTTCATGAGGAAATCTTACACAGAACTTTGGCCTCTTTCAAACGCATGCCTTCAAGCATCGTGCCAGTTGCCAGAACTGTGACCGTCACTTTAGCATCTCCATTAGAGCAGGATTTGTAAGTACTTGTTGCACGTTTATAAGAGTTTCTGCCCAAGGTGGGTGTATTAGTGTTAGCCGCTAGTGCTACTTGTGATTATTGCTATTCTTTTACGTCTCCGTGACTTTAATTCTCAGAGCTTAAGAGCTCCCCGGGGTCCCTGATGGAGAGCACTGCTGGGGTGCTTCATCTGCATTCTGCCTTTGCTGTATAGCAAGTTTTCACTTGTCCTTCAGGCTGCACATGGGAGAAAGCAAAGCAGTCCTGCGCCCCAGTACTAAGTGCAGCCCTATGGAGGGCACTTCTTTCCTGTTGAGCAATTATTTCTTATTTTCCTCTTATTTCTTCCTCTCATATTGATCATTTTCATTGTAATATAGGTTGGCCTGGGAATTTTCTTTCATCAGAGTAAAATTCCTAGGCATCCATTCACCCTTTATGATTTAAATTTCCAGCAGGACTGGGAGGACACAGCACAGACACCCCTGAAATATAGCAGTGTTGGTAGGACCCTTTCAGTGGTTATTTTAGCAATGAAATAATCACAGCAAATCTAATGGTGATATAGTACAATATGACTTTTTAAATATTTATATTTTATGCATTCACTTATTACATTGCGACATGGGACTGTGCAAAGCTACATTAAAAGGCCTGAAGATTTACATCCGCAAAGAAAATCCCCCCAGCTCCCGTGTCCTTGTCCTGTGGAAGAGGCCAGCTCTAAGAGTGAGAATGTCACCGCGTTTTCAGTCATATTCGTTGTAAATGTCATCGCTAGCTGCAAAATATTTTCTAGCCTGTGCTTATTTGCATCACTGTTGGCGGCTTGGTTTGCTCTAAAAATAGAGTTGTGCTTTTAGCGTGCTGGGAACTGGGGAAGCTTCAGCTCTTGCACAGTCTGTCTCCTGTCCAAGCTCAGGAACACTGTGCGCCAGCTCAACAGGGCTTGTTGGACATCAGGTCTGAAATGAGGACAGCTAGAGTTTCCCTCAGCTGAGCTGGTTGAGTGAGTCTGCTGGGTTCTTCTAAGTGAAAATCACTTTATCTTTGTGAAGACTTCTAGTGGTTCACCGGTCATCCTCCTGGCTCTTTGCTACAGAGTTTTTCCTTTCCTGTTTTGCTCCGTGAGTACCATGCTCATGTTTCACCAGTCCCATGTCTTGGTATTCAGTAAACGATGTGTTCTGATAAAGATTATAATAAATTACAGCACTGAGTATAGTAATAAAAGTAGGCAGAGTATATATAGGCTATTGTGGAAGAAATTAGTTTCTATTCTGCAGTTTGGGGAAAAAAAAAGGAATCATGCATCTGTTTTATGTAGAAATATCCTTATCATGCTGTGGTATCGCTTTATTCTCAGATGAAAAAGCCATAGAGTTTTGAGCAGGAAAGCCTTTGTTATAGGTGGCATTGTCCAAAAGAATCCAGCGATAATGGAAATAATCCAAAGTTTAGAGGTAGAATAATAAAATCATGGAAGTTCTGTAAGTTTTTTGATGAGTTTCTTCAGTCTGTTGCACTGATGACTGAGAAGTCAGAGCAAAGCAAGCACCGAATTTGAACAGGTATGGATGTGAAGTGCCTTGGAATCCTAACCTTTGAGTGGAAGTGTGAAGAAAAATGCTGTAAGAAACAGGTCTGTTCCTCTAGCCCAGCTTGCTACATTTTAAGGTGCTTTAAAAACATTTCTTGCTACTAAGCGTGTTTGATTTTAAGGTACTTTTAAAAAGATTTCTTTCAAAGTAGTCTCTGCCTTTTGGTTGGTGTCTGTTGCCACGTGTGCCGGAGTACACAGAGACTTGCAGTAAGTGTGGTGTGGGAACCCTCTTCTCTTCAACAGACCCAGTAATTTCTAGGCTTTGCAGAGTTTTGAGCCTGTTGGTGTGTCCTCATGCTAAAGATGTTTATGTTTTTGAGGCAGCTGGTGAGCGTTCTGGGGTTCTGTGAAGTTGCATGCTGCTCCTGTGGAATGTTCCAGTATTGGCCATCGGGCTTTATGAATTGTCGCAGAACGAGCAGTTAATTCTTGACATCTGCCGTGCCGAAGTGACTGCCAAGTCGCGTTGGTAGTTGACAAGGAAATAAATATTGATAGACCCTAGCAACAGGTACTCCTGAGAACTCTTGTTCTGGGAACGCTTAGGCTGTGTCCAGCATTATTAATGTTGTGATAGCATTTGAGGTTTATTTATAGGATTTGTTTGCGTCTTATCACCATCTCTCAGGACTGGAACGCGTGAACAGGCTTTGCTGGGCGAGGGCATGGACATGTGTATCACACACCCTTCTCTGGTGACTCCTTTCGACATACAGCAGATGCTTCTCTGTCCAGATCTCAGGGGCAGCTGGTGTACACCAATGTACGGCATCTCGAGTATGTGCTCATATCTAGAATCTCGTACGTTCGCTATTTATTTAGTTGGAACGACTACTCCAGAGCTATCTACATAGAATTGTGTCAGATACAAAAATTTGTTTTTAGTAGTACACTAGCAAAACATTCATAGAGCAGATCCTCTGAGAATCCACCAGATAAAACTAGCTTGCTTGTATTGTGAAAGCACTGACTCTTGTGAACACTGTAAGTAGACAATTTTATATTCTCATTGCAGAAATTGAAGCCAGAGAAGCCTGCGACTGGCTGAGAGCTGCCGGTTTTCCCCAGTATGCTCAGCTGTTCGAAGGTACGATCCCAAAGACTCGATGCTTTCGATGGAAGCACTTCCCAATTCTGTAATATCTGTGTAACATGCAAACCTGCAGGAAATCAGCAACCCGGGGTGTGTTCCTGCAGGAGTGACATCTTAACTGGGTTAGCATGGGCTCCGTAGAATTCTGTAAGGGACCAAATCTTGTCTGGTTATTGTTAGACTGCAGCTCAGCCAAAGGTCTGCTTTTGTGATTTTTAGTTGCTTATGATTTTGGCAGGCTCTTTTCCTTGGAGCGCTGGGATTTTTTCCCGGCTCACTGATGGCAAGCAAAATCAAAGGCTCTCCACCCTGTGGTCTTGAGCAAGGTTGTTCTACTGGTGTTTTGAAAGAGAAAGTTGGAAAAAAATCATCTTACAATCCTAAGTTTTTAAAGCAGATACTCAGAGGCAGGCAGCCACAGTCAAACAATGCAATTTCAGCAGGTTTTTGTGTTGCCAAAGCTACAAAGAGCACTTGTTACTTGTGCAGGAAATGTGGATTTGTTGAGAACTCGTATAAGTTTCAGACAACACTTGTTCTTATACATTAAAACTGTTCTTCAAAATATGTTTATTCTTACAGACATTGAATGTAACGAAAGCTAGTCTGTTATTACGGGAGAACTACAGTTAAAAGAACTAGCAGCAACTTCTGCCTGCTCTCGTTCCCAACTCCTCTGTTCATTGCAAAATCAAAAATTAGGAGTCGAGCAACAGAGCCCAATTTGAAAGCTGTATGCTGTGAAACACGACGTCTCATGGAAATGCTTCTTGTTTGACTACAGCGGGTTTTATTATATGGGCTGTCAAACTTCTGGGTTTTTTGGAAATGTATGTTGTCATGCTTCTGAATAACGAATCCTCTGTACTACCTCGCTGGTTACGCGGCGTCCTGACTTTGCTAGGCAGGTGAAGTTTAAAGAGTAAGCCAAGAAAACACTGATGGATCTTACCATCCTCATCTGCCAGGTTAAATCTCAGAAGCTGAAACGTTGAACTCCAGGCCTGTGTAGCGATGAGCTTGAAGCACAGCATGACTCGTCAAAGAGCATATCTCATGTGCTGTTTGTACCTTGCCGTCAGCAAAAGCTCATGTAAAATGCTCCTACTTTGATGCTGTACTTGAAGGCAGAATTTTTAGAGAACCTAACCAACTCAAAACTTTAATTTTGTGCTTCTTGGCTATCGTATTTAGTCACTGTAAGCTCCTGGAAGGGCAGCCAACGCTTGTCGACCTGTAGCGTGTGACGGCAAATAGATACCTAGATTTATCCTCCCACTTGCTCTAAGGAACTGATCCTCACTTCCTTGAAGGACATTTGTGTGAATATATAGAAATAGGTGTAGATTTATTTCACCTATGATAAATAGATTGCAAAAGTCAAAGTCTTTGCAATTGTAACTCAGATTTCAGATTCAACTTCTTTGTTTACAGATATGCAGTTTCCTATTGATGTAAAAACTGTGAGGAAAGATCATGAATTTTTAGACGAAGATGAGATTGAATCACTATTCAGGTAAACATTAATTATGAATCATTTTTAATACCTCCAGGCTCCATAGTTATTTATCATTCACCTTTTCATACTTCAGTTTTTGTCAGAGATGAACCAAGTCGCCAATGCTGCGACTGAAGGAAGTCACATAAGCACATACTTCAGTACCACTGATGTTGGTTGTTTTAAGAATTTAAAGGTAAAGCGAGCACGTGTCTGCAGGTCTTCTTCAGCCAAGGTCTCAGTGACGCTATACTAGGCATCAAATCTGTCTTTTCTGTGAGGTGAAATGTCTGCGGGCTGAGGAATAATAATCGGTTCCCTGCAAGCGTAGGGTAGCAGGACAGTTGGCTCGTTAGCATTGCATCTTACAGAGTGCAGGGACTTCCTCTGACTACTGAGCTCTCATCGAGCAAAATTTTCAACAGCAAAAATGATGTGCACAAGAGAGACATTTTCTGTTTTCTTTTCCTGAATATATTATTGAGTGAGGAGCAAAGGCATTGATCTAAAATTACAGTTTTGCCACTGCTGTTCACAGCACACAAGTGGAGTTTCTTCGTCAGTGCAAAGTCGGACTCAATGTTTTTTGGCCTCTCCCCGTGTAAGAGTGCCAGGATAGCACAGAGGCACTTTGCTTTACTACTGACTGCAGTTCCTGAAGCCTTCTCATTAGGAGATTGTTTAGCAGACAAAGTGAACTCCAGACTATCCGTGGCCATCCCACCAAGAGATGCATTTAGAATTTCTAACTCTTAAGGGCCTGGGAAGTTCCTTTTCTGGCAAATCGGTTTGGTCCTTTGCTGTATTGTTACGTCACCTGAATTCAAATTCTGCATGTAACGAGAGCTCTTTGCATATACATCTCTGGTGCACAGACGCCTTCGGATAGAGTTTGTTTCTCAACATGACTTCCGTCGTAAGCGTTCCTGTCAGCGTGCCTCCCTGTTGATGCCAAATATTTGTTTGACAGTTATGTGACTGACTCATGTGGGGCCTTATTGATTCCACAAGTTTTAATTAAAATTATAGATAATAAAGATAATAAATCCTTCCAAGGACAGACATTATGCCTTCATTTGTTTTTTATTTTTTTTAAGAAGCCCACTCAGAGTTTCTTTCATTTTCATAATCTTAAATCCATACACAGTTTTTCACAATCATTACAGTTCATCATATGATTTTTAATTAACTGATTAATTATGGTCCTTTTCTCTAATTTTAAGATGGCAGAACTGGAACTGTAAACATCATGGGGTTGTTAGTTGGTGCTGGTTTTGGCAAAATGGATGGAAATCCTCTAACATCATGTCAGTATTTGACACCGATAATGAAGACTCTGTGGTAGAAGTTCACAACTAGTTCGGTGCGTGTACGTTTACAAGAAATAAAATAGTTTATATGCAAAACTTCTGTCTGTTTTCTCATACCCTAGACGGTTGAATACACTGAACAAGTGTGCATCAATGAAAGTGGAAATAAGCCGACACAGGAAACAGGTATGTTTATAAAACACAGTTAATTTTCTCATTTAATATGTGTTTAGCTGTAACATAAAAACTGGTTTTTAAAAGGTCCGTTAAGGATTAGCAATTTCTGATCTTTTTTTTCTGTTCTTTTCCATCCTGCAAAGCTCTTCCACTTGCATTTTCTGCTGAAAACATAGTAATGGAGATCAAAATTATGTAATGTTCATTTTGTAACTTTGTAAGGTAGGTTAGGGGTGGGTTTTGAAACAGTTTCTAAACATAATTTGACACTTATTACTGTCCAATAGTTACACCAAGGCCCCACCTCAGTGTGCCTTTTATTGCTTTCCTAAGTCGTTTCACGTCTTGTGTAAGGCCTGAAAGTGAAATTTCCCTCTTACTGACTGAGCGAAGGATAAGAAATGAAGGTGGCCAATCCAAAGGGTGTCAGCCAATGTCAAATGTCCAGCCAACAGAAGGTGGATAGGTTTTAGCTGTGCTGGCTTTGTCCTCTCCTGCAAAAAAAGAGAGTTATAGCCACAACTTGGCTGATTAACACCAGGATTGTAAAGACTCTTAGATACCATGGAATAACTGCAGGACTAGCGAGAAAATAATGCCATCTTTTGGAAAAATGTCTAGTTTTTTGGAAAGTTCCACTCGACCATCAGGAAAGAAAGAGGCATGAGCGGGTCCGCAGAGAAGAGGCAGGTCGTTCCCATCCCCAGAGCAGTTTGCCGGCCGCCCGCCCGCCCGGTGTGGGGACAACATGGCAAACAGAGCAGCTGGGGCAAATGGCCAGTGAGGCTGGGGTCTCCACGAGGACGCAACAGATGTTGGTGCTGCCACAATCCTGCAGCCAAATGCTTCTGTATCTGAAAGTGGATGACTTTTGGTCACAGAAGTGTGAAAGTGTCTGATGGGGTTGGCTTTAGGAAAGGCCATGTAATACAATTTTCTTTCAAAACCGATTTGAATCTTGAATTTTGAATTCAAAATGCATTTGCCGTGAAAGAGAATTTTTCATCCTCAGGTCAAATCTGTCACCTTTTCCTGTGGTAAACTTACCAGATTTGTCAGCATGCTTGGGAGCAAGCTGTCAGCATGTTTTTCAACTAACAGAAAAGAGCTCAGGGCAGACCTTCAGTAACTGAATGATTGCATTGCCTTATGTTGGTCTTGGGGTTTTGGAGGTAGCGAGATAAGTTAAGTTCCTTTTTCTGTTGCTTGTTTTGGTCATCTAAAGTTTGCCATACTTTGCCCTTGAACTGTACTTTTTTTTTTTTCTTCCCTTCTAAGAGCAATGACTCTGAAGATGATGAACCTTGTGCAATAAGCAACAAGTGGGCTTACGAAAGATGCAGTCAGAGATGGTCTCGTATCGGGAGCCTAGAAGGTTTCCCCGGAGAGGAAGGTGCTAGTGCATCGCTCCCAGGCAGTCCAATGCTGAAGAGCACCAGCAATGAGGCTGCTGTCCTGGATCACGACGAGAAACATGACGTGTCCTCGATTCACAGTACTAGCAGTGGTGATAGTGACACTGCTAGCTTCCCAAAACCTTTTGAAGATGTGGAAACCAGCACGAGTTCCTCAAAGTGTTCCTCAATTAAAGTGGCTTCACTGGACTCTACCTTCAGCTGTTCTTCTCCTCCCAGTGACTTTTTAAATATTACCAGTGAGGAGAAGATTTTGGATAAATCACCACACAAAAAGAGGAAGAACCTTCTAAAGAAAATGGAGAAGTTGCATTTAAGGAGCAGCAACTTAAGGAGTGGTCAGTCAAAGGCCAAACCCACAATAGGTGAACCTGTTCTTCTGGAAGGACTTAGTGAAGAAAAGATGAAGAGGCTGAACTGCGTAAATATTTCTGACCTCTCTGGCATCCAAACAAACAATGTTTCCTTTTCTTCCCAGACCTGCAATAGCAGCAACCAGTCTGAAAATAGCAGCACAGTGAGCACTCCAAGTCCTGTTATAAAATCACGAAGTCACTATGCAGGAAGGGGGGTGTACGCAGAGGACTTGGATTCTAGCAAGCTCTTGCTGTGGAATGACCTATCTCAGCAAAACCTGAAAAATGACATGAAGTTACAAACGAACCAGATGTTTCAAATACCACCAGGCCATAAACCTGGCACTTTCCCCAAAACACTTACATACAGTTCCCTGTCTCCCGTGGACAATTCTTCCGTGAACTGGAGGACGGGGAGTTTTCATGGGTGCAGAAGGAGCCAGAGCGGAAGCAGTTCCAAGGACTCCAAAGCCCCCAGGAGTCCCCTTTCGTGTGCAGATAACAGGCTCAGTGTATACGACAACATACCCAGTATTGAATTTGATAAGTTGGAGGCAATGGAAGGTGGTGATGATGATGTTTTTTCAGAAATGAACAGTGTTATAGAAGATGTCAATGGTCTCAAAAAGTTGGTTGATCAGTGGACCCAGAAGTTCTCAGATGATGAGGATTCGGGCTCTGCCAGTGACTTCACCTCTTTGTATCCATCCTCACCTAAACAAATCTGTTTTGAAACAGAGGGCTCAGCAGCAGACCTCCCAACCACTGAGGAAGAACTGGGCAAGGAGATCAGTGCTGCAGACCTGGCATACATGACAGAATCTAAAAAGATCAACAGGTCAGCCATCCTTGGGTTTCCCTAGCAGACTGCCCTTGGGAACCTTTCCCCGTTGATTCTCTCCACTCAAAATGTAATTGCTTTTCCAGAACAAAGTCTGCTTAAGCACGTCTGTTCTGGTTAGCAGGGTCTGCACCGCTGGTGCCCGGTACTGCTGGTCTGTAGGCACTCTGGTGTCTACATCTGCTCTGACCTCTGTCGCAAGCAGGGCACTCACAATCTGCATGAGCACTTCGATATTTGGAGTCAGACTTTGTGGTTAGCTTGCTGTATTTCTTGCTGAAACAGTTTGTATTGCTAGAGTACCTCCTGGATGAGAAGGACCTTGTTTAAGCGCAACAAACCACGTGGTGCTTGGGAACTGCAGGTCGTGTAGAGTCCTAGGCACTTCACAGATGCAGGCAGAAAACGAACAGGGACAATGGGAATAGTCCTAAGCTTGAACAACATTTATCCCACAGGCACGGGACGCAACACTGGCCTGCGGAAGAGAGCGTGACCTTGGGAAGCCTTTCCATCCAGGCTGGCAGCCAGTCAGCTGCCCAGCTAGCCCGGACACAAAAGCTGGCTTTGCTGAAACTCACTGCTCTGATGGACAGATACTCCCCGTCCAGCAAGCAGGGCTGGAACTGGTAAGTGGGCTAATGCTAAAGCAATCTGCATTGGAAAGAGAGGATTTGCTGTCAGCCGGTGAGTTTCCTTGTCTGCCTAGATCACGCGTGTCCAAGATGAGGAATTTCATCCTGTTAAACCGCTGGCAGCTTCATGGTTAGTTCAATGGCTCCGGGATTTCCTCTGCTGTGGGCTGCGCTCCTCGCTGGTGGTTAGGTTGTCACTGATTTTAAAGCACGTTACAGGTTTAGATCTGCCCATTTGCAGGACTTTGTCAGAGGTCCTTCACAGAGACTGCAGGACCTGAGGGGAGAGCTGGCTGGGCTGGGAATCCGTCTCTTCGGCACCACATCCCTGCTTGAACTGAAACAATGACAAAGTCACTCCCGGGGCTTGGAAATACCCGTTAGCATCTTGTGATAGGGATCTGCTACTTGAATGCAAAAGGCAGTGAAAAAAGCCTGCGGTGTCCTAAAGGGACGGACCATATTTCACATGAGGATGTGTTATTAAAGCTGATTTCAGCTTTGAAATCAGGGTGTCATTCCTGTAATTGTCCTTAACGATTTTCTCTACATCTCACAATGATATGTGTACAGGTACGTGGCAGAATTTGGGGATGCGGAAGGTCTAATTAAATCCTTTCCAGCGCACCTAATTAACGTAGCAGGCGGAGCTGTGCTGCAGAGCTAACATGTTGGATGTCCTGGGTTTTGTTTTCAGGACTATACCAAAGTTCATTAAAAAAATAAAAGCCTCTGACTACAAGGACAAGCATGTGTTTGGGGTTCCTTTGCTTCTGAACGTCCAGCGAACCAGCCGCCCGCTGCCGAACGGCATACTGCAAGCGCTGGACTACCTAAGAAGCCACTTTCTTGACCAGGTACGAGCTTGAGGCAGCCCAGGGCAGCTCTGTTCCATGGCCAGATCTGCTCCAGGGAGCCAACCTCCGCTTCCTCGCCAAAACTGTCTGCAGTCGGGTCTCGTGGTGCAGGCAGTCAAGCTGTCTTCTCCTGGTGAGGCAGCACTTTGCTTCCTTGGGAAGTGACTCGACCACACGATGTCGTTATTCCCTCTGTGTTCTGCGGCTGCTGGGAGTGCCAGAGCTAACGTGACAATTAATCTTGGTTCAGCTGAAACGTACCACTGAGCAGAGATAAAGCATATTAGAGCAGCGCCCGTAGCATCTTCTGCCGGAGCTCAAATCCGCATTTAACCACTACGCGGAGGTGTGTGCGCGGCAGTGAAAGCGTGTGCTCCATATGCTATTTCTGTAGCACAGGGGGTAGAAATGGGAGACCCCGTGACACGAGATGTTCTTTAAAGAAAGGGCTTTCATTTTCCTGTGCTTTGCAAGTGTAGAGGTGCGCAGTGCTATGCTGCAGCACAAAAATGGGTGCGTCCTGTGACGTTACAGGGCGGTTCGGTGGCACATGCTGGAGCGTGAGCTGTCAGCTTCTTGTGCAGGCAGCATGGTAGCTATTCAGTCGAGATAAGTAAACCAATGAAAGTAAATGCTGGCTCAGTGGCACACGGTGAATCTTTCAGCAGAAGCTTCATGGAAGTCGAGTTCACGGGAAGCTTCTAAATCTAGGTTTTTGTCTGAAACTAGGTTAATATTCATACTAAAAATGAAATAATAATTTCCTTCAGAATTGCAACTGCCCTTTGCGAACCTGGAGACGTGTTAGATGCACCAGACACATCCGATGCTAAACCCGAACCTTGTGGTTCTCCCAGTCTGGGTTGGTTTCTCCAGCATGGGCAGCAGTGTACGTTTGCTGTCGGGTGAACACACATTGGCGCGCTCCAAAGTTAGAGCACAGCCTGCTCAAGCAACCTACAGCTGTCAATAGGAATTATTTTAAAAGTAAAAAAAGGTGAATTTTACAGTAAATAAAAGCAAGCAAACAAACATGAGAACTGGTATGTCTTCCACAGCCGGTTCTGTGGGCATCGGTCATGATTTACCTGGAAGGAAAGTCCGTGCTGCTTCTAAAAATACAAAAATATTTTGATGTTAGATCCCACTACCATGGGATCCTAGCTACCAAAAGGAAAGTGAAGGATCAGCTGTTTGTCAGAGGTTTGATTCCTGGTGAGTCCTCTCTATGTCATTAATATTTTCTTTCACCTGTAGGTTGGCCTGTTCCGAAAATCCGGTGTTAAATCCAGGATTCTGTCTTTGAGAGAAATGAATGAAAGCAACCCGCACAACGTGTGTTACGAAGGGCAGTCGGCGTTTGATGTGGCCGATATGGTGAAGCAGTATTTCCGAGACCTCCCCGAGCCTATATTTACCAGCAGGCTCTGTGAATCCTTCCTCCACATCTACCAATGTAGGTCCCAAAAGCTATAATTTTCCAGTTCCTTGAATATCTTCATAGTCAGCTGTGCAGGGCAGTGGCCAGACTAGGACCAGCGCTGTGTCCCCGTGTAGACAGAGGAGACACGTCGAGAAACTGAATTCTGGCGCTGAATACAGGTTTAAACAGGCTCCATCTCCAGAAATTTGCCCTCAGGGAATTCACTTTCAAAAAGCAGCTGGGTTGAGGGGGAATTCGCTGTGGGGACTTACGATGATGTTGCTACAGGCAGGTTGCTGCTTCTTCCGAGAAAAGGTTTTGAAAGTCAAAGTGTGGGATCTCTGAGCGGCCTGGCTTTCAGCCTGTTTGATGTGACTTTTATTGATCTGAGTACACGAGCTACTGCCGTCCTGTGCACCGTGCAGGTTCGCGAAAGTTTGATTGGGTTTTATTTTTTAACCTGTCAGGCTTTTAGAATCGAGTTATTTCTTTGTTTGATGCAAGTTTTCTTTTCTCCTCCTCAAATCCTTTTTGTGAGGATGTCCGTGATTCCTACGTCCAAGGGATGTGGAACTGGTTTTTTCCATTGATTAGAACTTGGCCACTTTCCACCCCCCGCCTCTTGTTTTGGGGTAGAAACAGCGAACAACTGAATTCTACTCACCCTACTCACCCATTTTGTGCCACGTGTGACTTGAGCAAGTACCCAGATTAAATTACTCTGTCTTTAGGAGATGAGAAATGTGCTGCTTTCACCAAAAAGCATGTTTTGTGTGTGCTCTGCCTGTGTGCGTCTACTTGAAGGGGAAGTGCTCTTCTACCCGTTGTAGTGGTGTAAGGTGGAGAAATCCTGGTGGTCGGGGGGTGAGTGGCAGGGTGAACCATACCGGCTGGCCCTTCGGAGCTGCTTGGGCACACAGGTTCACCGGGCTTCGATGGGAATTAAAAGCTGTTGGCAGAGTATCGTTCTCTGAATTGAGTTACCTGGGAGTATCTGGTCTCTTCATGTCAGAAGCTGAAAGGAAAGGCAGCAGAGTAGTGATCTGCTCCAAAGTATCCTTCCAGAGCAGTGTTTTACAGCTAGACAAGCCCTTGTTTGGGTTGTGACCAGCGCCGGTTCAGGATAAGTTCTTTAGCACGGTGCTCATGATGAATTGCAAGCCAAGCACCAGCATCACGAGGGGTGAATGTGCCTCTTGACAGGTGGTGGGAGAGAACCGCCCTGGTGTGATGTGACTGTGACAACGGCCTTTGCCTCGTCTGGCGTGAGCCGGGGTGGGAGGAAAACAGCTGAACCTACAGCTTCAGTGCCCTGCTCGGGGCTCTGGTGATGGACGCTTCCTCGGCACCTCTCATGCGTTTTTCATCACTTTTTCTGTTTTCAGATGTGCCAAAGGATCAGCAGTTTCAGGCTGTCCAGGCTGCTATTCTCCTCCTCCCAAAGGAGAACCGAGAAGCTTTGAAAATCCTCCTCTTCTTCCTGCGAGACGTGGTGGCTTTTGTTGAGGAGAACCAGATGACCCCAACCAACATCGCCGTCTGTCTGGCACCTTCACTGTTTCACCTCAACACCCTGAGACGGGACAGTTCCTCCTCCTCCACTAGGTATGAGCGCCTTGATGCTGGCATTGCTGCTGTCCGTAGCGTCCTCGGCTGGAACAACGCTTTCTCTAACTGGCCTAGGATCCGTGTCTGCTTTTAACGGCGGAAGTAGTGTGTGCATCTTGGGGTTTGTCTCAGACAGGGTTGCTGAGGTCCCACGGTGATCCAGCAGCTCCCTGCCCAGTGCAGAGAGCAGCGGTGAGGCTCCGTTGGCGGGCTCCTGGCGAGCCCGCGTGCGAGCCAGCTTGCGTCCCCCACCGCTGCAGCACTCGGCTGCCTGGGAGCCCAGCACGTGGCCGCTGGCTGCACCCAGGTGGTGATGGCCGTTGCGAACGCAGCTCCTGCACTGGTGGCCTCTGCCCTGGCACAGCTGTAAGGCCCAGCAGATACCCGGCAGATCGCTGGAGTTGCTGGCACTCGTTCTGCTGGGTGAGCAGGGGATCGTTCCTGCCAAACTGAGCCACAGGGATCCCGTAAATTTATCTTCACAAGTATCTGGGTTGCGTAACATCCCCTCTTATGGCCGTTGCGAACGCAGCTCCTGCACTGGTGGCCTCTGCCCTGGCACAGCTGTAAGGCCCAGCAGATACCCGGCAGATCGCTGGAGTTGCTGGCACTCGTTCTGCTGGGTGAGCAGGGGATCGTTCCTGCCAAACTGAGCCACAGGGATCCCGTAAATTTATCTTCACAAGTATCTGGGTTGCGTAACATCCCCTCTTTGTACGTGCGGGCAGGAAGGTGCCCCCGGGCCAAAGCAGACAACCTCTGCGAGCATTGTGCCTTATCTGGTCTCCTGAGGCTGGGCTGTTGGCTTCTCTCCGTGCTCCTGCATATGGACAGACACGTATCAGGGCAGAAAAGGAGACCTGGCTGTGATGGAAACATGGTGCACCCAGCAGGGTCCATCGCCTCCCACGGGGACCGCAGGATGAGGCTCCAAGCAGAAGCTGCCAGCTGTGCTGCTGGCGTCTTTCGGGACAGCACAGAGAGGGGGAAGCAAACGCTCAGCACTGCTCTTGCGAATGGCACGAAGCGTCTGGAACCGCCTCGCGCTGCCCAGCTCTGCGCGGGCCGGGGAGCCGGGGGGTCGTGTGAGGGCAGCTGGGATGCGATGGAGCTGCAGCAGCCACGGCTCCTTCCCAGGGCGGGGCCGGGTTCGTGTTCGGGCGCCTGGGAGCCGTCCTTTGAGAGCTGCTGTGCCGCTTTGCTTTACACTAACGTCACGCTGGGAGAGTAGGACCGAAAATAGAAACGGGGTTTTCTCTGTGTTGTCACCGTTCAGAAGCCAGGATGCTTTGAAGCTTCAGCTTTTTTGTAACCGGGCATTAACGCCGTGGTGCAGGGCCCTGACTTCAAAGGGCAGGAGCTGACAGGTCCGACTTCGAGGAGCGGCGCTGAGGACGCTTGTCTTCCACCTGATTTCCAAGCCACTTGGCA